CAATAGCGCACTCGCGCTATGGCGGACAACTACCGGTTCATGTGATAACTTGCCCCCCTCCTCCCTCCCTGCCTTGCTATGCCTGTGGGATATGTATTTACCACCAGGTGACAGACGCGGGCATGGAGGCAATTGCGCGCTCGTGCACGGGGCTGCACAAGTTTGTGGCGGACAATTACCGGTTCGGCGGCAAGGGCATTGCGGCGCTGCTGCTGCACTGCACTGAGCTGAACGACCTGACTCTTGTGCACAGGTACGTGGGGTGGGGCTGATGCGTGAAAACAGGGGTATGTCCTGGTGTGTGCAGTGCTTGTTACTTTTCGGCGGCAAGGGCATTGCGGCGCTGCTGCTGCACTGCACTGAGCTGAACGATTTCACGCTCGTGCGCACTCTCTTCTCCCTTCCCTCCGCACCTTCCCTCCGCACCTTCCCTCCCATTACCAGTGCCATTGAGGAGCGTGGGGGAACTGTCTGCGCAGGTGCATCAAACACAGTTCCTCTCCCCGTTCCACCCACCCACCCTCTGTTCTGTTTTACCCTGTCCCTCCTTTACCCCCTCGCTCCCTCCCACCATTTCCAGTGCGGGTCAGCCTCTCCCCATGCCCGCACCCTCCACACACCCCCTCCTGCGTGCATGTGAAACCACTCTCCCCTCTTTCCCTCTCTCCCTTCCCCTCCCCTCTCCCTCCCTCACCTCCCCTCCCACCAGTGCCAGTGCGAGTCAGCCTCTCCCCCATGCCCGCACCCTTTTCCCTGCTTCTCTCCCTCTGTTCTTCTCTCCCTTTTCCCTGCTTCCCTCTCTCCCTTTTCCCTGCTTCCCTCCCTCTGTTCTTCTCTCCCTTTTCCCTGCTTCCCTCCCTCTGTTCTTCTCTCCCTTTTCCCTGCTTCCCTCCCTCTGTTCTTCTCTCCCTTTTCCCTGCTTCCCTCCCTCTGTTCTTCTCTCCCTTTTCCCTGCTTCCCTCCCTCTGTTCTTCTCTCCCTTTTCCCTGCTTCCCTCCCTCTGTTCTTCTCTCCCTTTTCCCTGCTTCCCTCCCTCTGTTCTTCTCTCCCTTTTCCCTGCTTCCCTCCCTCTGTTCTTCTCTCCCTTTTCCCTGCTTCCCTCCCTCTGTTCTTCTCTCCCTTTTCCCTGCTTCCCTCCCTCTGTTCTTCTCTCCCTTTTCCCTGCTTCCCTCCCTCTGTTCTTCTCTCCCTTTTCCCTGCTTCCCTCCCTCTGTTCTTCTCTCCCTTTTCCCTGCTTCCCTCCCTCTGTTCTTCTCTCCCTTTTCCCTGCTTCCCTCCCTCTGTTCTTCTCTCCCTTTCCCCTCCTTCCCTCCCTCTGTACTTCTCTCCCTTTTCCTACGAAAATTGAACCGAGAATTCTCAAAAGTGATTTCAACATGGCGTGTGGGGACACCTCTGGAGACGCATCATAAACACGTTCTTCTCGAATCGTCCTTTCTATCAATGATCGACGTTCTTCTCTCCCTTTTCCCTGCCTCCCTCCCTCTGCTCTTCCTCCCTCCCACCCTTTGTCTCTGCGTTCTTCGTCCCTTCACCCCCCTCCACCTGCCCTCCCCCACCAGTGCCAGTGCGGGTCAGCCTATGCCCATGCCCGCACCCTCCACCACCCACCCCCTCCTGCCCGCCTCACCCCCCACCACCCTCTCCATCCGCCGCCTCTGCCTCAAGGACCAACGGAATGCCGCCATGTGGCAGCCCGTCATGGAGGCGTGTGGGGGGAGTTTGGAGACGCTCATTCTGGGGCGCAACATGGGCAGCTGGGACGTGGCGCTTGAGGGGCTGGTTGCGCGGAACAAGACAGCGGTGTTGAGGCAGGTGAGCCGGAGAGGAAAGGTAAAGGAGGTGAGAAAAAATTCAGAGGGGGTTGAAAGGGTGAGAAGAGAAGGCCCTCCTCTCCCACCACGTTTTGCACGCCCTCGCCCAGTGTGCCCCATATCTACAGCCGACGAGCTTTTTGCACCAGACGGGGGTCACGCCCTCTAGTGCCCCCTCCTCCTCTCCTACTGCTTTTCGCACTGCAGTGATCTTTCAACTCACCTTATTTTCCACTCTCCTTTTCCCTCTTCAGCTGCTCGTTGAGAAGACCCTCCTATCCGACCGCGCTCTACACGCCCTCGCCCAGTGCGCCCATCTGGAGCTCATGGGCATCGTGCACTCGCCGCACTGCACCGACGATGGCATGGCTGCAGTGGCCGCTGGCTGCCCCCAGCTGCGGTGGGTGCACATCGACGGGTGGGCGACGGGGCACATTGGGGACGTGGCTCTCACGGCGATTGCCAAGCACTGCAGTCAGTTGCAGGTGAGGGGAGGGAAGGGAAACTGGTGAGAGGCAAGTAAGGGTTGTAGACATTGGGATAATAGGACCGGCTCGTTTGTCAACTTCCCTTGTCTGGGAGGAGAATGAGCCAACCATCCTCTTTCTTCCCCCCTTCCCCCCTCCCCCCCCCACCCCCACCCCCCCCCACCCACCAGGACCTGGTGATAGTGGGGGGCTCCTGCACGCTGCCCTCCCTGCAGCAGCTCGCCGCCGGCTGCCCCAATCTCGACCGCCTCACTCTCTGCTACATGCGCTCCATTGGCGACCAGGAAGCTTCCTGCATCGCCACCTCCTGCCTGAAGCTCCGCCGGCTCTGCCTCCTCGCCTGCCCGAATATTACCGACGCCGCCGTTCTTTTCCTCGCCACGGGCTGCCCGGGCCTCGCCACGTTGAAGCTTCGCCGCTGCCCGCTGGTGACCCGGGCAGCGGTGGAAATGTTTCGGGAGGCGCGGCCGGAGGTGGAGGTCAGTGATGAGGAGACGGCGGGGAGTGGGCAGGGGGAGCACGCGGAGGGGGGAGAGCATGGGGGGGCTGCTGCTGCTGGGGGTTCTGGTTCTGCAGTTGTTGCTGGTGGTGCTGCTGCTGCTGTTACCGGTGCTGCCTCTGCTGGTGCTACTGCTGCTGGTGCTGTCACTGCTGGTGTTGCTGCTCCTGCTGTTTCCCATCCTGCTGCTTCCCCTCCTGCTGCTTTCCCTCCTGCCGCTTCCCCCCCTGCCGCTTCCCATCCTGCTGCTTCCCCTCCTGCTGCTTTCCCTCCTGCCGCTCCCCCCCCTGCCGCCTCCCATCCTCCTGCTTCCCCTCCCCCTGCGTCGCCTCCTGCTGCCCACCTTGCTGCTGCTGCTTCCCCCCCTGCTGCAGCAGCTGCCTCTGCTCTTTCTCCATCTCATTTGCCCCATGCCGTTTCTCCATCGAATCTGCCCTCTGCTGCAGCCTCTGTGACTGCTGCTGCTGCTGCTGCTGCTGCTTCTCCTGGGCATGAGCATGGGAATGAGCATGGGCATGGGCACGGCCACGGCCACGGGAATGAGCATGGCGATAGGCATGAGCATAGGCACAGACAAGGGCATGAGAATAGGCATGGGCATGGGCACGGGCATGGGAATGGGCACCAAGCATTAGATCCTTCCACACAGTACTCCGGAGTCCCCGCTTCCTCTCACCCTCAACCCCATCGCCCTCACCCCACTAACTCTCACCCCACTAACTCTCACCCCACTCACTCTCAGCTCACCCAACCTCACCCTGATGCGAGTTTTCCCCGCTCACTGTCCATTCCACCTCAACCCACGCGCTCTCAGTCCCCTCATCCCACTCGACCTGACGTTGCCTCTGTACCGCCTGCTGCCTCTCTCCCATCTGCCGCCTCTCTCCCACCTGCCGCCTCTTTACCACCATCCTCCTCTCTACCACCTGCCGTCTCTCTCCCACCTGCCGCCTCTCTACCACCATCCTCCTCTCTCCCACCTGCCGCGTCGTTTCCACCTTCCACCTCTCTCCCACCTGCCGCCTCTTTTCAACCGGCCCCCTCTTTCCCGCGTGCCTCATCTGTGCAACCAGCCTCCTCTGTTCCACCTGCCGCCTCGCTGCCTCCTTCCACCTCTCTCCCACCTGTCGCATCTTTTCCACCTTCCACCTCTCTCCCACCTGTCGCATCTTTTCCACCTTCCACCTCTCTCCCACCTGTCGCATCTTTTCCACCTTCCACCTCTCTCCCACCTGTCGCATCTTTTCCACCTTCCACCTCTCTCCCACCTGCCACCTCTTTGCCAGCAGCCCCCTCTTTCCCGCGTGCCTCATCTGTGCAACCTGCTTCCTCGTTTCCACCTGCCGCCTCGCTGCCTCCTGCCTCCTCTTTTCCACGTGCCTCCTCTGTGCCACATGGCTCCTTTGCGGCTCAACCACCACCACCACCAGCAGCAAGAGAAGCAACAATGGGGAACGGGGGAACGAAGGGCAAAGTAAAGCTGACGTCCCTCTTTCAAGACGCTGTGAGGCGACTCAAAGCAGCAGGCAAGGGCAGCGGCAGCAGTGGGAGCGGCAGCAGTGGGAGCACGAAGGATGGGGGGAACCTGGTGGATAGAATGAATGCTCAGGCTCACCCGCAGGGGGGGTTGGTGGCCACTCACACTCAGACGGAGCCGCCTCCCCTGCCTGCCTTCATGCAGCACCTTGCTCCCAGTCACTCTCGCAAGCGGTAGGAACGGCAGTGGCACTTGCGGTGGTAGTGGTGGGTGGGGTGGCAGTGGTGGTGGCAGAGGTGGGATGGGATGGCAGTGGTGGGATGGTAAGGGGACCTGCTGGCCAATCACTGACACACACAGATGGAGATGCGGCCTCTCGCCTCCCATCTGCCTGTCCTTATGCAGTGCCTTGCACCCAATGTTCCTCTCCTGTCGTTACCAGTAGTAGGAGAAGAGTCTAGTCATTCACGACTTTGACCAGTGCAGAATGCTGCATTCGCCATAAAGTTGCCGTATTCTCCCGGACATAACACCCTAGGGTATATGTAAAAATACAGGAAAAAAAAGGGGGGTGTCTTCTCATAGGAAAAAGCTACATAATACCCGGGTCCTTACATATGGCATATTTTAGTGTTAGTGTTTTTTTAATTAGACAATGTGGCAGGGCTCTCGTTTTCAGTGTAGTTTACCCTTCCACACTGATTAGAAAAGTGAAAATTTGGGCTTACACTGATGTGTTTGGGTATTTTTTTGGATGATTACTATTACACTGATATGTCAGTGTAACCAGGGCCCTCGCTAGTCTCTGAACCCCCCTGAGGTGCAGACGGGCCCTTTGGGCCCGTCTGATCTGACCCATCAGAAAATTTTCCCACCCCTGTCTTATGCATCAGAAATTCTAGCATTACGTGACTTAAAAATCAGATATTGCAAGACGACCCTACAGAAACTACTTCAACTACAACAACTCTTCTCACTACTTATAAAAGATCACATGAATATCTATCTAACTATCTGAGTTAGAGTCAGATGCATCATTGTCACTCAGTGCAACAGTCGCACGCACATCCACTCCGTCATCCTCCTCACTGTCGCTAACTACTACGGGAGTTGTGGCTTTCTTCCTCCTCTTGGCTTCTCCGTCATCAGCCGGCGCCTTCTCAGCTGCAGAGTCAGGTGCTGGAGCCTCCCTGTCTGCCTGCCTCCCTGCCTCTTCGGTCTCTGCCTCCCTGCGCTTCGCCCTTGCCACTCCGCTGACTTCTTTTGCAGGCCGCCTTTTCTCTGCCCCGCGCCACAGCTTCACCACGTCGTCCCAGTCAGGTTCGTACTCGAGCAGGGAGACGCACATGAGGTCCGCGAGACGCGCATCGCACAGGTTGCTCCTGAGCCACGACTTGATGACGTTTTGACGACTGAAGCCTCGCTCGCACTCCACTGTGCTGAGCGGAAGAACAGCCACTGCCACCCAAAGTCGAACCAAATTGGGGAAAGAAGACTCCCAATCCCCGCTCCTAAGCATGTTCTTCAGTGCCACGTGGAAGGATTGGTCCTTGTATTGCGACACCATCACGCGGGTGAAACGTGGAGGTTCCCGCTCGACCTTCTTCCAACTGACTCCTGCAAGCAGACACAGCACACATACTTAGCATTCCACTATGCAGCTGGATCGTTGCACAATCAACGGATTTGGAAGCGCGGAAAATAAGAACAACCCGTACTTGGCAGAGCACAGTGGTCGGCGTTGAACATCTTGCGAAGGAATCTGAACCACTCCGCGCACAGCGGTCGCGCTTGGCCACGCCCTCCGGATACGCGTCTGGCAGAAATAGCCTGGACCCACCGAGGGGGTTCAAGCTTCGCATGCGGAACTGAAGCCTGCCAATCACCTCTTTCGCAAACAGTGTGGCGGTTGTCACGCATGATTCCACGTCGCCTGTAGGATCCTCTTTCCCCTTCGCATCCAGCTCGTGCAGCTTGAACGTGTGTTTGACGGCGTTGCCGTCTCCATCCATTCCCTCCACCTTGACCACGCGCTTGGAAGGATGGGTGTGCGCTTCGAGAAAGGTAATGAGGTGCTCGCTGTCCTCCGCGAAGTTCACACCGTACTCCACATACCGCGCCTTCAACTTAGCGCAGGTGTTTTGCACCTGCCCCATGACTTGGGTGATGTCCACCTGCGACATCAGGCACTCAAACAATGTTATTGAGTGACTATCGGTGTGAGAGTACGACGGCTTATGCCAGCTATGCTTGCTTGCCTTTACTTTATCATGCTATTTCTAGCATAGGATAATTATATGCATGCATGAATTGCTTGATTTCCTAGGCTAGGTGCTTTCCTATATTTTATTACAGTTATAGCACCGAGCTAGGTTGCGTGCACCGAATACTGGCTTTTCGGTTGCCACCGAATTGCCTTCTACCGAATTCGGGAAGGATCTGTTCGGGACGCTTCGCGACCCGCGGAACCTTCGCATAACACCTGGTTACGGGGCCTTGTGTCGAGCCTATAGCCTCGTGTTGTACCCAGGTGATCATTCAATTCAATCTCTCTTTTCTGAGCTCGATCCTAGATCCTACACTTGGTAATCAGAGCTTGTTTAGACGCGAAGTTTTTCGACCACGAAAACCTAGCTTTTAAAACCGCGGGGGCGACGACGTAAAGCGCCGATTACGGGTACGTAAACCATTTCCGCGCTATTTTTTAACGTCCCCCTCGAACCGGTTTTTCGAACACTCCTCAGGTCCAATGGCGAAAAAGTTGGAATTTCGACCGTCGGATCGATTCGAATCTCAACGGCCCTGAGAATTTCGCCCAAAAAAAGTTGGAATTTGGAGCGTCGGATCGAATTTCTTCTCAACGGCCGAGATCGGACGCGAATTTGGACTAAGGGAGAATTACGCGACCTACAGAATCAGCGCTCGTCATTTCTACAGTCGACTCGACTCACAGTAAGATGCCCAGCGCCTAGAATTCATTTCTTTTCATCGCAAATCTTCCTGTAAATCGCCAAATGGAGGAAAATGGTGATAATTCTGTACGAAAAATTACGGAGTTACACACCGGCTTGGACCAGACGCGAGCGGCACTCCAGCGAATAGAGGCGCTTCTCGCGAACCAGTCGGCAACCGCCACGGCAGCAGCGAACGCATCGGCGAATGCAGCAGCGACGTCAACAGCAGCAGCGGCGACACCGACACTTCACCCAGCAGCAGCAACAGCGGCTACAGTGAATCTTGAGGCGGCACGTCCGAGGCTACCGGAAAAGTTCAATCCGAATGCGAGAGACACCGACGTCCGTCGATTCATTGCGACCCTTGAAATTTACTTCGAGGCCGTTGGCTGTACGACCCCGACACACGATGCAATGCGGATTCGGCTCACAGCGACACTGTTACGAGGCCCAGCGCTCGAGTGGATTTACAATAGCAACGAGGTCCGAGGCGAGGGGTCATGGACGCAGTTTCGGGAAGCTTTAATTCAACGTTTCGAACCAATCAACTCTAGCTACATGGCGCGGCAGCAGATTCATCGGCATAAACAGTTCGGCAGTGTAACACAGTACACGCAGCAGATGGAGAGCCTCTTCAACCGAATTACCGACCTGACCGAAGGGGAAAAAATCCAAGCGTTTACTGAGGGGCTAAAGATGGAAGTCCGCCAACAGGTGATTGCCGCGAACTACAACAACTACCGCGACATGGTGTGTGCAGCAGAGAGATTCGATGCGCTGATGCGATGTGAACCCGAGACACGACGCCACGTGCCGAACCGATCATTTGGCAGGAAGCGATCGGCACCACCCACGACCGGCGACCCGATGGATATCGACAAGATCGACGCGAAGCAGCGGCCGACAAAATATAAGAAGTGCGAATTTTGCGGCGCAGCAGGACATCGACTCTTGGCGTGTTGGAAAATGAAGAAGGCACGAGCGGAGCTGCAGGGCAACAACAGTGCGGCACCCCCGAAGTCAAAAGACATGGCGACTTCGGAGCGGGCGAAAAAAGGAGGACATGATGGCGCGAATTTAAAACGTCACGACCGGCCGGCAACAGGGGAAATCGCCGAGACAATGGAGGCTCCGCGAAACAAGACTCTGAACCGACCGGGAAACTCCAGCCGAACACCTCCGAGAGTAAGAATATTCCCACTCGAGGTTTTCAAGCCTTTAAAAAATTCAGGGGAGATTTCGAGGCCAAGAAAAAGCCTTCAGACATTATTCAGGTACCTGAGATGTTGGGCAAACCACTCCGGAGCGTTGAAAAGGGTCGTGCGTTCCAAGGAGTTACTATTCTCTCCCCGCAGCACGGTGTTAAGGCTCCCAATTGCCCACAGGTGAAGCCTACACAGCTGCAAAGGCTTAAGGGAAGGTTCCAGGCCAAGACGAAGCTGAATCGGCTTCGGATAAATCCTTCTAACCCAACTCAGTTGAAAACTGATACGGAGTCAGCAGCTTCGAGCGCAGGACCGAGGGATGATCTATTCGACGTACCCTACGATCCTATAAGCGAGACCATCTACGGTTACTCGGAGCAGCAACAACCACTACTACTCGAGGTGATCTGCAACGGGCGACGCCTCCAGGCACTGGTGGACAGCGGTGCGTCTCACTCGGTGTGCGACCGCGAGACGTTGGAGAAAATTGGGGAACCTTCCGAGGAGACCAAGTTCACGGCAACGATGGTGGACGGTACGAAACTTCCCATCCACGGCGAAGCATCACTGCAGCTGCACATAGGGGCGCTGAGGTGGAAGCCGACATTGCCGATCACAAACATCAAGGGATCAGATTTCATCTTGGGGCGAGATTTCTTGAAGCGGTTCAACCCCGAGATCGACTGGGTCAACAGGAAGGCGTGCATCTACAACAACGGGAAGCGGATACCACTGCGAAGCTGGACGGATACAGGGAGCGTTCCTGGAACGACACTGGCACGGTTCGAACGGACGGTGAACGAGAGTAACACGGGCTACCTAGCACTGGTTATGGCAGCAGCAGAGGAGGAGAAGCCGAGTTCGGAGCTACCTGCAGCAGTGAAGGAGGTCTTGGAGCAGTACAAGGATATAATGCCCGACGACCTACATGCAGGCGTACCCCCTGCACGCACCCACGAGCACGAAATCGTGGAGGAACCAGGTGCGAAACCCGTCTCACGCGCACCATATCGACTGAGTCCAACCGAGCTGACAGACATGAAGAAACAGATAGAGTATCTACTGGACAGACAACTGA